GATGCCATGACCATGAAGAGCTGTCGCAGCGAGCGACATGGAGTGGCGCGTCCCCGGGGATCGATGCTCGGCAGCCGAGGCCCCTTCAGTCAGCATCTTGCATCCCACACTGCATGGCACTCGCTCGTGTCCTCATACTCTCATGGCATCACAGTGACGCCTGTATTCATCATTGCGGTTATATACAAATATATACCCATGTAGGTCAAATCCCAAATACAGGTACATTGCGATTGGGTTGCATGACAGCTATGAGTGTTCGGGTAGAAACCATGACCTCACAACACTTGAGAACCCAGTTTTATAATGGGTGACTGAAACCCAGTTTGGATCCCAGGTTCTCAGTGCTCTTGGCTCAGCGTCTCTGAAACAGAATTCACCTCTGAGGCACTGAGCCCCCACCACCATAACTTTTCATGGCGATGCCAAAGCCAAGAAAGCGAGCTTTTGCCTCTCACCGGAGTTTCTTTCTGTAAGAGTGGGGCTCTAAGGCTACGGTCCGGCATACGAGTGGATTCTAACGCAGCTTGAATGATTCTAACACTCTGTCGGTGGACATACCACTCATGTGCCAGTAATAAATATACTTGGGCATTGTGTTTTTGTCAGACGACTATGACGTGGAGGCGGTCGTACAGGCGACACAAGAGTTTGAGAAGAAAACCTGCGTCCGGTTCCAACCCCACGCTGGTGAAACGGACTTCATTCACATCCAGGACTTGGGCGGGTGAGGGATTCACATCGAGCATCGACATCCAGCATTCACTCTCAGTATTTACGCCCACCAATCGCATCCAGCATCCACTCCTAGCATTCACTACCAGCAATCACTTCCAGCAATCAGACCTAGCATCCACATCCAGCAACCACATCCAACATTCACTCTCAGTATGCATGCCCAGCTTTCATGCCCAGAATTCACACTGAGCATTCACACCCAGTATCCACTCGCAGAATTCACATCCAGAATTACCACCCTACAGTGTGGAGGGGGGGGGGGGGGTCTCAAAACAGGTATTACACCTGCAAAGTAAATGCCCTAGACCTTTGGGGATTTTCGTCAAGTGTAATATTGGTGTAACGCATCCGAGAAGACATCGACCAAGAAGATGCAGCGATAGATAATATGTGCAGGTGGATTGTTGCATCGCAAGATCGTGAGAGGTGTCGGTGGCTTGGGGAGGCCTTCATCTATTCCTCGGCTCATTACTGGCTTGTCTGCTGAGACTCTGATGGGAAGTAATGAAGATCAGAATCTGTGTAATAAAGGACTCCTTCACACGATGTCGCTCTCCGTTGGTCCTTTATTTATGTTTTTCTCCTCCGCACCCGCTGGCTTCCTCCTCGGACCAGCGTCGTCTCTCACGCGCCCCGCGCACTCTGCAGCCACCCCGCTGCTCCATGTGCCCCCGCACACTCTGCAGCCACTCTGCCCGTGCACTCCGCACGCTCCGCTAGCCACTCCGCTAGCCCCGTGCAACCCGCACGGCTCCGCTAGCCACTCTGCTAGCCCCGTGCACCCCGCACGGCTCCGCTAGCCACTCTGCTAGCCCCGTGCACCCCGCACGGCCCCGCTAGCCACTCTGCTAGCCCTGTGCGCCCCGCACACTCCGCTCTCTCTCCGCACACCGCTAGCTGGCGGTGTGCCAGCCCTATCAGCCACGTGGCTGATGGCACGGCGGCCACCCAACGTGGTCTCGCCTGTTCACTCCATCGACTGGCCCTGATCTCTTCTGGGGTCCCTCCTATAACCTCTCTACGTGACCCTGACTCCTCCCTCTCGGATCGTCACATCCGGCCTTCCCATTTACGCTCGCATTACATCTGTATTCATACTGGAGGAATCTGATGAACTATGAAGCTCTGTTTCACAGCTGTTGGTTAGGAGCGGGTCAGCAAGTTGCATAAATAAGAAATACTAGAGAGGATACAAGAGTAAAATAGAGAAAAGTCAAGCAATTCAATAAAAAAGGGTGTACATACAAGTTGCACAAGTATATATATTTTGCAGATTTCTCAAGATGAAATGGATGCTTGGGAAATGCAACAAAACAACAATAACAGAAATCAAAGACCAAACCAAGACAATAACGTCTTTCGATTACATATCAATCCTAAAATGTCAAAATGGGTAATTTTCCCCCATGCTCTCAGCAAGAGCTGGTCACTGCCAGGGAAGCAGGGAGGGGAGCAGCCACTGTCCCTGGAGCCCGGCAAGGTGACCAAGGGCATCGTGCTGCACGAGTTGATGCACGCACTCGGCTTCCAGCACGAGCACTGCCGTAGCGACCGCGACGACCACGTCTGGGTGGTGCCAGAGAACGTCAAGAAAGGTGAGAGACATCAGCAGCAGTATCACCCTCAGCAGCCACAGTCTGTCTAGTGAAGGTATTTTATGGAGAGAGATGTATAGTTAACAAAAAAAAATACATATATAGTCGTACCCCGATTTATGCCTCCCCTTTTTACATAGTTTCGCAAATATGTTGCCGCTTATTTTAATACTGCTACCTGATTTGCGTCCCCTCAACCCACACTTCCTTCGCTGACAGCATCCGTCCTTTCTCGTATCCATCGCCTCAGCCTTTGCATCCACCTACCCTGTACATGAACGACTTAAAGAAATGTACCGTACTGGAAAATTGCTTTGATTTGCGTCGTTTAGATATTCGTCTCACCTTTTAGGAACGCATCCCCAATGTAAAGGGGTGTATGTATGTATGTTGAATTTCTTTCATACCGTATGTAGCCAACTGTGCTAATTGTAGGTGCGGGGACACAGTACGGTATTACTTTACTTGATTGGAAACGTCATTAACATCACCTTCCTTTGGCTCATTACAGTTTTAACTTAACTGAGAAATTGTCCAACCATTCATTACAGTACAGTCATACTGGTACTTTGAAAAAACGAAAGGATAATAAATGGCTGGACAATTTATCAGTAAAGCTAAAACTGTAATGAGCCAGAGGAAGGTGATGTAAATAAAATGTCCAATCGCACCTCACAACACACATTGGCGCTACTTGGTCGATCATCAAGTGTAATAACAGAGTGGCAGCCATTAAATGGCATGCATTCCAGAGGATGAAAGATCAGTTTGTGTGGAGGTGATGGCTAATGAACCAATAATGTAATGCATCTCATTGTTCTCTAATATGGTCAAATAAAGAACAGACAGATATAAGCAATTCATAATCAACGTTTTTGGGTTTAGATCGCGTTATTTATAAATGTGTCGTAACCCTCCACCACCCGACACGGCCAATCAGTAAAAAAGTGTCACGTTGACAAAAGACAATTAGTTCACTGCTTTAGCCCACCGGTGGTTGAAGCGTGAAACCACAACATTTACAATAAACAGATATAAGCAACATGATGGGTTCTGAGATGGTTGAATGAGATGGTATCAGTCCTTTGAACTACCGGGCCACCTCGTAAACTTATGAAATAAATAAGTAGTGGCACCTGCTTCTCACTCTTGAGACAATTTTTTTTACAATTTAAGCAAAATTAACTTAAACTACACAAAGCACAGGTTCCTGCGGGGTCAGTGGACTGGTTTCGAGGCTGCGTATGCATCTGCGAACGTGAAAAATGCAGCACGGTTCCATGCACTTGTCACCCAGTGTGCATGGAATGAGGGAATCTGAGCAAAATATGCTTATATGTGGTGTACGTGGCATCTGCAACAGTGATGATGCGATATCACAGGTGTTCTTTGTTTTTCATAGAATGGAAAGAGCAGATTGTGGACATCAATTCAAACGAACAGGATTTGGTAGCGCCCTACGACTGCAGCTCCATCATGCACTACAGCATGTACGTATGTGTGTGTGTTCGCGTGCTATGCTATGATCATGCCGAGCCGAGTTTGATTCCTGCTCATGGCCAACACCAGTGACGATTATCTGAACCGGTCTTGTGCTTCCCCTAGGTCGACTGGTATGGTGTACAAACATTGCTACTAGGGAGACAAAGGTGGCCGGGTGTGGTACTGGCCACCCACCCCGCCTTGTGTGTTGTGCCAGCCTTTATAGGTGCTCACTTACAGCCCTCGGCCCAACAATCTGTCAAGGTTATATTGGGGTTATTTGTGTTTGTGTGTAACGTTACTTATGCACAAAAGCATGTACATGGTGTGTGCATAACTTTACTCATGCACTATAGAATATACCTGTGTGTGTATGTAAGATTACTCATGCACTACAACATGTATGTGTGTTTTTAACATTACTCATGCACCACAGCATGTACGTGTGTGTGTAACATTAATTATACACCACAATGTATGTGTGCGTAACATTACTCATTCACTACAGCGTGTACGCATGTGGTCTTCTAGGTTGGCAGGTTCCGTGGATGAGCGCAACCCAACGATCATCCCCAGGGACGTTCTGTGCATGTTGCACATGGGACAGAGCAACTCGCTGAGTCCCTGCGACGTGGTCAAGGTGCAGAAGCTGTACGGCTACGAGGCGGAGGTGCACGCCGCTCCCGCAGGTTGGGCCGCGTGGTTGTACGTTGGCCTCTGTGTTGGGTTTTAACATACTCTGATAATATATGCATTGTCCTTGAAACTGATTGGTCCACACCAGAGACAGCTTTCTTTTGAGCCTCGTCTCAAACGTTGTTAGACCAGAGGACGCCTCTGCTACTGTCAAAGGAGGTCCCATGAAGTAAGCTGATTGTTGTAAAGCTCTGTTACTAGAACCAAACCAATCGTGCATCTATGACTTTAACTCAGCTCAAGCACCCCATAAATCTCATGACTTCCCCTTTCCCCTCTCCTCTCGCCCTTCTACTCCAATGCTCTTGCACTATGTCCATCCCACAGGCCTCTGCTATACCTCTGTAGACATCCTGTAACTTTACCGTTGCAGACTCCGCTCTCTTCTGGATGGTAGCAAGGCTGGCCGCGGTTCCTTCATGGGATTTAGTTTTTGACGCACGCATCGTGGATCCCACCGTCAGCACATTTCCCAGCTCCCACTCTTTCTGCCCAGCTCCCACCCTCCCCAGGCAACTCCACCTGGTCACCTCTCTCTCTCTCTGTGCTTTAAACTAAACTACTTGTATTTTACCAGGCAAGGCCCACTGTGCTATGTAGCTCTTTTTCAGAAGCAACTTGGCTACAAATGGTAGCTCGACGAAGTGGCATATGTAGAAATTTACAGCAGCCAAATACTCTAAACGCATGTTGATTCACACTACCACGGGGAGAGAGACATGCAGACGCCAAATATACAGCAGGTTTCAGAGTCGGGATCAAACCCACGACCTCTTGCATACCAGGCGAGGTAGTAAATATCTCACCAACTGGCGCTTTCAAATTTCTCCTCAAAGTTTTCCCTTTAAACCATGTTTTCGGACCTCTTTCATTTGTTATTTTCTCTTTTATCTCCTTTGCCTGGTCCGTGCCATTCTCTCCCGTTTCCTCATTTGTATTTCCACGCTGTGAGACACTTGTTGTATGTTATGGGTGCATTAAGATTGTGAGTTATTGTTGTATATGAGGAATTCTGGCTATGTGAACTTCAGACGTTGCTCCGTGGCCGTGCATGGTGCCGTGGAGTTGCTGGGTGCCCCCCATGTGTGCTCACCTGGCCCTGTCTCTGTGTCGGCAGCGGTGGCCAGGAGGAGCAGAACCTCGGCTGATGAGGACGCGCCGGACAGCAACGTCGGCGTTTGGAAGGCAAAGGTAAAACAGAAGCTGACTTTGTTTTAGCGAATGACTTATTTATAATCCATTACTTTATCATAATCGTTCAGCATACTTAACAAACACAATTATAAAACTGCATGGCTCACAATTAGGTTCTGGGGCGCCGTGGTCAGATATTAACTACCTCGTCTGGTATACAGGAAGTTGTGGGTTCGATCCCGACTCTAACACCTCTATATTTGGGGTTTGCATGTTCTCCCTGTGGTCACGTTGATTTTTCTCCGGGTCCTCCAGTTTTTCTCTCTACATTTAGAATCAACATGCGTTTAGATTATTTAGATTATTTTGCTGCTATCAATTTACACATGATAAGCCACTTCGTTGAGCTATCATTTGTGGCAGGTCACTTCTGAAAAAGAGCTATATAGCTCAGCTTACCTGGTATAATAAAATAGTTTAATATATATTAATGATGAAATCAAGGAGCCATCCTGTTCTCAACCAGCGATACTTAACATTATTCACTCCTATACCTATCCCACCTCGTTCGTGGGATGATTCAACCAGATTTGCAAGTGGCAGGCGTGCGGGTTTTAGGCTGCATCACCACTGATCGGAAGATATGTGTGCATGCTTCACCACACTGGTTAGTGCACACTGGTGAACTCACCTGACATGGGGAAATACAGGCCCATTAGCCTCTGGTGACACTTATACAAATTGATCTAAAAAATAATTGAAAACGGAACATGGAAAATAGAGAAGGACAGCCAACCAATGTGAGCAAGCAGCATTTAGGAACATGTTATGTGGATACTGGTAGAGAAGTCTACCAATCACATTTTGGAAAGAAACGAATGAATATCAAAGAGCATTGTATATAACCACTGTAAACCATGGAAGATATTCGACTCAGTGAAAATGTATGCAGTCAGCCACCCTCTCACAAACCAAGGCCTAAATAATGCAAATATTTAAAAGTAATATTACATTAAATGAAAAAAAGTGTTGCTGGCTGGCTGGTTGCCTTAATTCCTGGCTGGCTGGTACGCCAGCAGGCAAGTGTGCGTACACGATGGTGACATGATCTAATTTATTTAGACAAATACTGTAATGTCCTAAGTAAATAGCGAGACGACCACCGGCTGGGTATTAATCAACCTGTGCAAATCGAATGCTGAACACCGCACCATTCTTAGAACAAATGAACCTTATGGCGGGACCCTGGGGTCCCATAAGCCCCCGGCTCTCACATAAACTGCGTTGCGATGTCATTTTATGTTTGTTGAAGGCGAACAATACGGCAATCTATTCCTCTCGACGAGCTCTACACGATGCGCTAATCAAAATTCAAAAGTTTTGTTTATGACTACGGCAATTTTGGCAACGACGGGTGCTTGGTGAAGAACAAGAGGATTGATTTCTGGTGGGTCGCGGCGTTTATGTGCGTGGTGGGATGGAGTCGCCAAAAATAAATAAATTAATTACGATTTTGACTTCCGTTTATTCGGGACCCCGGGGTCCCGCCATAAAGTTAAAATATTAATCAGTTAGCAAACATTGTTTCTGCTCCAGTTTTTTTTGCTTCAATTACATTTTTGGTGGCATTTTTATTATTTTTCGTATCCAGTTGCAAGAGGGTTTTCCGTATCAAATTACATTTGAGAAGGGGAGTTAGACAAGGAGACGCAGTAATGCATTGTTTACCATATAGCAATTATTTAAATTTCCACATTACACTGTAAACTATCTTAAGGCATTCACACTGATCTTTTTTAAAGCTAATCATCACATTTCCTAGAAACTTGATTTGCATGCAAGATTTTCAAAATGGCTCTGACCATAATCACAGTGGCCAAAGATGTCGAATAATAAGCGTGGCTACCGATGAACACTCTCAACCACTGCACTATTTTTTTGCACGCACTATATAAAAATTGTGACTGCTGTAATGCAGTTTATGGGTGTGGTTTCATGAGCCAGTGGGTGCTGCCACTGTAATTTTGTTGTTTTACAAATTCATCGTTTTGCATTTCCGTGCGTTTTCTCCATGAAGACGAAAGAGGAAGTTGACGAGGAAGCCAAGAAGAAAGGTAACGGCCGGTGGGGATCCCATGGTCACAGGGTGCAGGTTGCCTCGATCAATGGCGGAGCCAGGATTTTCAGGTAGAGGGGGAAACCCCTCCAGAAATTAAAAATGATAGGAGTTGTTAGTAAGTAAGGACTTTCGTAACTGCAGGGATCCATACTCTTTGGTTCTTTCGGTAAAGTCACGTAGGTATAAAATAAAATAAATTAAAAAACAATTGCTGTGGTTGTCCCAACTGATGACGGATGCTTGTGTTGCGCCCGAAACGTCGTGATTTAATTGATTTTATTTTAGACCTACGTGAGTTTACCGAAAGAACCAAAGAGTAAGTAAGGACTTGTCCCTTTATTTTTATTCGACGCGTGTGCGGCGATGGTGCAGCCATCGATCGAGGGTCGAATTTGAACCGTGTGTGATTGGCATCGCGCTCGCTGAAGGTGAATGCCTTCAGGGAAGTTGTGTACTGTATACGCAACTGCGCACAATTCTGTGAGTCACTTATAGCTGCTTTGCCGTTACTTATTGCCAATTATGAACTCGGACTATTGTCCTATCATCTCATAGAGTTCCTGGCACATAATAATATGCTACACAGTGGCAGTGGGGTCGCAAAATGCCGATTTATTTCTAATAACCCCAATGATCCGATCGAAATTAGGGATTTCAATCGGATCATTGGGTGGGCACGAGCCCACCCCCCCCCCCCCCCACTGGCTCTGCCACTGGTCTCGATGGTCTTGCTGACCACTCGATGAGATTCCCACGCCATGGCAGAGTGCCTTAGAAAAATGCGCGGTACTCTCAGTTGAGCACTCATATGTTATTTCTCAATTTTGATAAACTCTATTGTCTCCACTTAAAGCTTTCGTGACTGCAGGAATTCATATTCTTTGGGTCTTTCTATCTACGTGGCTTTACCGAAAGACCCAAAGAATATCAATTGTCTCCTTTTTATAATAAATGCACATTGCTGTGCTTCAGCACTATCTTTGAAATACATGTTTTATATTTTCTGTAAAATGAAAATGTAAATTACTCCCCTGTATGCTGGTTTAAAGTCGGGACAAATATTACGTGGGCACAGGTAAATCTTCGTGAAATGAACAACCCTCATCTCGGTTGTGGGATGAAGCTCTCTAAGAAAATAGTTTTTTGACCATAGTGCGGGAAGCTCCATGAGGTCATAAACACTTAATATGTCATAACTCATCACATTCACAAATGTTAAACATATATAGTTTGTTGATTTGGAGCTTTCGTGACTGCAGGAATCCATACTCTCTGGTTCTTTCGGTAAAGTCACCTAGATAGAAAAAATACAAAACTAAATAAAACACGACGTTCGGTCGCAACACAAGTGTCTGTCTTCAGGTGTGAAAAAATGATCTTGCTGTTGGGGCTTTATATACGCACGGGAGGAGAGAAGGAAGGGGGGGGAGGAGTTTGGCTGTGGGAGTTCACAGGAGAGAAGGGGGAGGGTTTGCGGCGTGCATGGACGGTGGGGCTAGAGAATTAGCAAGTAAATGGACTTGTAGTACAAGTCGTAATCGGACAACGACAACTGGGTGGGTGAGAGAGGACGACGACTACCGGGTGGGTGAGTGAGGACGACAATCGGGTGGTGAGTGAGGATGAAAACCGGGTGGGTGAGTGAGGATGACGACAACCGGGGGGAGAGTGAGGGACAACGACGACAACTGGGTGGGTGAGTGAGGACGAAGACAACCGGGTGGGTGAGTGAAAATCATAGCAGTGTTGCAGCCGAAACGTCGTGTTTTCCGTGCCTATATAAAGCCACAACAGCAGATCATTTTTTCTCACCCTGAAGATGGACGCTTGCGTTGCGACCAAAACGGTGTGTTTTCTTTAATGTATTTATTTTCTATCTAGTGGCTTTACCGAAAGAACCAGAGAGTATATATATATTTGTCTTTGATATGGTGGTAGAGCTACACAATTTTACAGTAAAGGCCAATCTTTTATGGGCTTCATCCCACTACCTAATCATAAAAAAGTTCGCAACAACAATTCTTGTTCTCGCGCTGTCAGGGCTCGAGTGGAAGGAGAAAAACGGATCCCCTTAGGAACCTCATTAAGAGTGATGGAGATCGCTGGTGAGGAGCTTCTCTCTCTGGGCTGTTTGTACCCCCCCTCTCCCCACACGTGGCTTCTCTTATGGCCAAGGCTTTTCTGGAGTCGGTATCTACTGCTCAAGTCAGCATTGGGCAGCAGTCGTCTCTAAGCTCTCCAGTGGGAATGTGTCCACAGGATAACCCCCTCTTGATATACAGGGGAGCTCAAAAAGCAGGTCACATAGGGCTTTCTGTTTATTTTAACAAATCACGGAGGGTTATTGAATTTTTTTTTAAATGTTCAAATGACTTCCAGTAATATTAATGTATTCATTAATTATTATTTTTAATGAATTTAGGGATTTTTTTTACAATTACAGCAGCATAACTAGAAAACGAATTGAATTTGTTAATCTTTAGTCAATTAATTTTACGCATTTGTAAATGTCACCTGAAATAGATATGAAAAATATAATTGATTAAATATTAACTTAGAGACTAATCAATAAAATGCTTTAATGCCATTGTTAAAATAAATTGAACAACCATACGTGTCATTACTTTGGGCCACCCTGTACTGACAAAGAAGTTGAATCATTTCTGATGGGATGATGGTCTGAGTCAAACTTACAACCTAACATTTGTAAAATGCACCATCAGAAGATTCTGCTACTTGGCTGGATTATCAAGCTTGTTTTCATATGTAACAGATATTAACTTTACACTTTTGCATGCTAGTGAACCAAACGAGCATGTTAGTCTTGTTTCACTTTGTTAAATGTTGTTCGCATTACACTCATCTGTAAAACGTAAGCGTTGTTGCTCTTTGTTAATGCCAAAATATACTTTTAACAAGGAAGAAATGTCATGTATATGCACAGATTTTGTAATGCTTTCCAACATGAATATATATTTTGTATGAATGCGTATGACCTGTTATGGTCAGAAACATGGATGGAAACAGAGAAAATGGAAAAAGAAATTCAAAAGCACATCAATAAACTTGGAGAGTTGCACAAATGGCATTACATTGAGAGACAGAAAGAGGAACATATGGCACAACAAATGCATAGTAAATGCATCATATTGACTGTTAAGAAAAATAAGTCAGCTTGCACAGGATGCACCGCTGGAAAGGATGATGGCCTCTGGGAATGCGCCCTTGAGGATGACCATCACAGAGATGGAGCAATTAAATAAGCAGGTATACAGATGCTGGATGGATTGTTACATCACAGGCAAATAAGAAATGGCGACATCTTGTGGAAGCCTTCATCCAGCAGTAAAACTATCGTGGTTGATGATGAACAACGTTAGCCTCCTAGTCGCATGATGGGATGATGTCATGCGACATATACCATGACATCACATGCAGGTAGAAATGAGCATACTCATTTGCATGCTCATATGAGTTTGGAGACACTTTGGCATAACATAGCTGCTTGCTTCCAGGAATGAATAGCTTGTTTGTAATGTAGCCAATGCAATTATTTATGTGAATGCAATAGATTATGTTGGGCTTATTGTAATACCAGCGTGCGTCTATTTGACAGGTATGACAGCTCCTCACTGCCATGCCTGCAGAGTCTGCTGAACATGCTGTCTGCAGAATGTGTTGAGGACAGAGAAATATTGCTTAAGTTTTCAAGCAAGAGGGCGGTCCAAGTAGGTTTTGTATTCTGACACGTTTTTCATTTAAACGATTAAAGGTAAAATATTTAATCAACTCAGTACATAAACATCATATCACGTCAAGTTATATATATGTTTTAACCATGTGAAAACCCAAGAGACCAGGATAGTCTCATTTACAACATAGACCTAGGCCACCAACGTGACATTGCAAAACAAATCATATAAAGTACAGCAATGAAAAAATAGAAATCAGAGCAAAAACAACCGTGGCACATGAGAAATCCAAAATATGATGCAAACATAAATAAATGTTAAATAATACATTCCCTGTAATGGAAGGTGGCTCTTGTAGATTATTTTTAGACTGAACAGAGCACAATTACGAATTATTTAATGGACAGATACACAGATAGAGGGAGATGACTAATAAGTAAACAGCGAGGATATTATGAGTTAAATGGCCCATGTTAGTCTATGGGCAATGTAAGTTTGCAATGTAAGTCCCTGAAAAATGTTAGTATATGGTGACTATTATACTAAATTGTAAACAGACAAAGATATACGAGACAAATTCTATTGGAATTTAAGTCATCATAAATGTCTCGGTTCCTATATGCTGTAAAACAAGAGGATGGATGGGAAAAAGAGTGAATGATTAATGTGGAAATTCAAGTTCGGGAAACTTATAGAGGATTTAAATCGAGTATCAGCCACCCGTTTTCACGTGCATTGAATTTCCCTCATCTCTTCCACTAATCACCACACAAAACTACCATGGCAGAATACAACTTTTGGATTCCAGTTAATTCATTAAGGTGTCTTAATCAAGCGTTTTTTTAATGAGCAGGGTACAGAAAGTCTCCTCTCTTTTCATTAAGAATTATTGTGTGGTGCTGGATTAAAGTGGACCCGTTGTAATTAGGTCCCCCACTCCAAAAGCAAACATGCACAGGACATAGCACAGACTCATGCATCACCAATTCCTACCATTATGTTGATAATGAATTATATAGTTAGACACCTAGGAACTAGCCACACCGCATCAAATTCAACATTTGTTCAAATAATACAGCTTGTGCGATGCCATAATCTTACATGGGTCTCTTGTAACTTATTTTCTAGCGCTCTTACAGAAGATGATTGAGTCTTGCAGGCTTGACAAGTCACGAGTGCAGATAATAACGTTGAGGAATAAGATTACTCTGCTTCTGTCAGAACATGAACTCTTTGGAGGTAAGATCTCTATTCTTAGCCTTGACTTTAGTTAATCTGTATAAAGAATTGCCAGAAAGCCTAAAAATATGCGGATTATTCGCCATTACCGTTATTCCCCCATGGATTCTACTCTGTGTTGCACAATCTTCATTTGTGTCATGCATTTGGTGAGATCTCTGCATTGTATGTTTGCATCAAAACACATCTAACCGTCATATTTTTTCAGTTTTGTACCACCTGCTATGTCGTTGCTGTCCTATGTTAATTTTCACAAATAAGTATGAAATTGGTCCTTGTTTACAATGCGTACACGGCTGATCAGAACTCACATGTCCCCACTGCTATAGTGTTCAAGTTAGAGTTTCTTTCAAACAGATTATTGGACAATGCAGTGTTGGCCAACCGATGCCATATAGACTTTGTAGGCTGGCGCTCATGGCTTTACCATTTACACGTTATTGTTTCAGGTTTCAATTCTTTTATAATTTGCATGTATGTACAGTAACTAGTTTCCAATGTACAGTCTGTTCTCCTATAACGCGGTAGTTGCGTTCCTGAAGAACACAAGCATTGTGGAAAACCGAGTTATAATACATGATATCTAATTTATGGTAAAGCCCAGTCCACGATAACACATGAGATGCATATACAGGCTGAACAAAGACAGGCACGTGGGTAGCATCTAGAAGCATCCAGCAGTATCCCACCTTGTGTGATGCTACGCCGAGGCAGTCGTACAACTGCTTATTTCTACTCGTGCGACGGAATTCTGTTAACTCAATCGCATTATATCCAGTTCGCATTATACAAAATGTGTTCCCAAATACATTCATCACGTTATATCCAATTCGCGCTATGAAAACACCTGGCGTTATTGGACAACAGACTGTATTTTGTAATGCGGCCATTAGCTGCAATTGATTTAGAAAAATAATTGTACTTGCCTTTCGTCACACTTTATCTTCTTTGGTGTAATAGTTGGAAAACAGTTCGAGAAGACTGGAGACATTGCAGGAGATCCCTCAGACGAAATCAAGCTGTGGCCCGAGCAGAGTGGCAAGGTGTACATCCCCTACAGCATCTCCATCGCCTTCAGTGAGCGCAGCGTGCACTGCCTGGCCGCACGTTTCATTCCACACAATGGGCTTCACGACCAATATTATTATTATTGGTTTATTTTGGGTTAGATCGTATAAGTGTTGTTGAATTGGAGCTGTAAACTCTCAACCGTCCGACTAAGCCAAACAAATGAAGTGGTAATGTGCTACTATAGCCCACGTGACAACTTGGTTATGTTGAAAGCAAGCTAAATTGTACCTTTTGTTACACGATGTTTCGCTAGAAATTACCCTCAGCGTCATCAGGTTTCAACAAGATCTCAACTTCGAGTGAAACTTCGTATAAAATTGTCAAGTTTTTGCTTTGCGTTGTTCGACTGAAACACTGTTAATGTACTTTTGTGTAACATTTCAGACCACGCATCATACTTGCCTATGCTATATTTATTCATTTATACCGTCACAAACTTCACATTATCCTTACCCTTGTGACACTCCTCTATATAACCACGCCCAATATATCCATTGTGGTTCCACCCAACCTGAATTGCATCGTTCCTCACCATTTCCCTGTTCAACATTATCTTGAGAAATGTGCGTTTAGATGCTTTCTCCTTCCACTTGGTAAGGTTCGTATCGGTCTCTTCATTCATAATGTTTTGCTACGGCATGAAGGGAGTAAAACTACTAGTAAGTAGCATCAATGTGAGAGTAGCATTTTCCTTTCAGATGCCAGTGACAAAGAAGCCATTCAGCAGGCCTGTGATGAGCTGACGGAGAAAAACGTGCGTCAGACTTATACCCAAAGACCCCCAGGAGGACTACTTTTACTTCAGAGCGCTGGGCAGGTGTGTCTCCTAGTTTTCTGATCTGCTACAAATAAAAATAACATTCTCTGTCACGAAATGTACTCACTGTTCGAAGTTATTTTATATTCATAGAGCGCCTTCACTCAAGGCGTTCAATGTAAATAAACCGTGACAAAATATAATAATTCATATGGTAGGGGCGGGCAAAATTTTAGAAAAGAGTGACCGCGAGGGTACTTAGGGGTCACGGAAGGGTAGGGGATTAGTCTTAGGGGATTTTTTGTTGAAATTGTAAAGGTACGAAATTTTGTAAATGTGCAGATGTCTCCGTTACAAATTAGTGGAGCAAATCGCCCGACATAGTATTTTCATCCAGTTAATAAAATTGAGAACATGGCCCGAAATGTTCTAATCTACAATGAGATTTTATCATAATCTAACTAAATCTTGACTTAAAGCTTTCGTGACTGCAGGAATTCATATTATTTCGATCTTTCGGTAAAGCCACGTATACACTACTATTAGATCTTGTCAACAAACTTTGAGACAAGAAGACTCATTTGATCGAGTCCTCACTTTTCTGAAGAGATGCCACGACACTAAGGTAATACCGATCGCCTTTATAATCACATCTGCTCCTGTCACTTATCCTAATGCTAAACGGATCTTGTTCAGGGCCAGCCTAGCCCTGATCTCAGAGAGAATAAGACTGCTCCGATTTGAACTAGACAATTTAGACAAGACCGTCTTGCAATCACACTTAACATTGACAGAAAAAAATTCTACATCTGATTGGGACCATGTAGATAACATGACAGCCTCTTCAGCCGCCTCAATGTCAGTTAAATGCAAAGATAACCTCATTTCCCAGTTCAACCTCCTCTCCAAGAAGAAGCCAGATCCAGACAAAAAGTTAGATGGTGACAAGATTGTTATCAATCAGAGCAACAGCCCAATTTCCGACAGCCTAAAATCTGTTCTGGCTAAAGGGTTCAATTTCGCAGTCACCCCTAAACACATCCCAGTTCATGATATCATTGCCCAGGTCGACGTAGCCCTTAACGGGTTGGGACACGTTCCTGCAGACGTAGCAAGATCATAAATCGCTGCAATCCTAAAAAATGCTGAGACACCTATTAGCAACATCAACAAGGATGAGCGCCTTTAACTCTCTCAACTAAAAAAGAGAGATGATATAGTCATCCTCTCAGCCGACAAGGGCAATGCCACTGTCATTGTGGACAAAACCACATACAATAACAAAAATCAGGACCTACTTAATAATGGCAGCTATACCAAATTAGTAGAGATCCTACCAACCGCCTGGTAACGAAAACCAACATCATCATCACTGATTCGACGTCTTTAATCGAACCAACCACACGGCTTTCCTTGAAACCCTCTGCTGCTAGACCACCCAGATTTTATGGATTACCAAAAATCCATAAAGAAGGTACACCACTCCATCCTACTGTCTCCACCATTGACTTACCCACCTACAAACTGGCACGATTTCTGTCTGAGAACTTGCAGACACAAAATCCAGGTACGGTTCAACACAGTACATAAAATTCGTAATTGTATCCCATCTCGATTTAAAGCTTTCGTGACTGCAGGGATTCATCTTCTTGGTTCTTTCGGTAAAGTCACGTAGAAGGAAGTAATAAAATAATAAAAATAAAACATAATAAAATAATTCTCACGACGTTACGGCCACAACGCAAGCAGCCGTCCTCAGGTGAAAACCAGGTCTGTCGAGGCGACAGTGTCTGAATGAAACAGCACCATGCTTGGAGCATATATTTAAGCTGGGTTGGAAGATGCTGCTAATCCTGCATAATGCACGGGCATAAGTAGTACTAATCACATACCTGCATTTCCCATAAATATGCTAAATTCCTCTTGATATGCAATTTTTTTTGTCAAGGCGCCCTTTCCCCCCCTTCCAACCCAGCTTAAATATATGCTCCAAGCATGGTGCTGTTTCATTCAGACACTGTCGCCTCGACAGACCTGGTTTTCACCTGAGGACGGCTGCTTGCGTTGTGGCCGAAACGTCGTGAGAATTATTTTATTATGCTTTATTTTTATTATTTTATTACTTCCCTTCTACGTGATTTTACCAAAAGAACCAAGAAGATGTTTCCCATCTGTGATGTATATGATCCCTGACATGCAATATCCCGGTGTCTACAAACTAAGCAGTGTCTGTGGCAGCAGTTACATTGGGGAAACTAAGTGACATGTCTCAGACCGGGTTTGTGAACATAAGGCAGATCTGAAACACGGTAGGACCAATACCTCAGCTGTGGCTGACTATTATTTTAACGCGGTGGGCACACATGAAATTGATTTTGCCAAGACAAAGGTACTCTGCAAACCCACTGGCTATCAGCAAAGATTCGTTCATGAAGCCATCCAGATATTTTAACACAGACACAATTTCAACCGAGAAGATGGGTACAAACTGAAGAATAATCACTGGATGGACGTTATTAACCAGTTTAGGTCATAACTGGCTGTGATGTTCCTATCCTACTTACCTATGTTAGCAGTTATTTTCGAAAATCTGAGTTACATTCACTAACAGAGCCAACCTTTAGGTGTGTTAGTAAATGGCGGCTTGCCACTACATCGTCCGGGTCCTCGCCGAGCTTACATTTACAAGAATATTTATCTCTCCTACTCGCTCCTCAAATTTTTTCTCTCCTACTCGCTCCTATATTGGCATTAGCTGCCCCTCCCATCTCTAAACCTTTATAAACAGCCTGTCTCAGCCGATTTCCCCCTCTTTTTCACCTGCAGACGATTGCTTGTGTTGCAAGAGAAACGTCGTGATTTTGATTTTATTATTTTTTCTGTCTAAGAATCTAACTATACAACTACAACTTAATGTTATACAGTGCCATTCACACAATGCCTCAATGCTTTACATTAAATAATCCGACCGTTAGCAAGCCTTGAACAAGTAAAACTGGATAAAACCCTAACATTAAACTGTATAAAACTTGTAAGAAATAAAAACCTGATTTAAAAAAACCTTAACAAATAAAAACAAATAAAACTCTAAACGAATAAAACTGTAAAACGAAGCCCTTAAATATAACTAAACAATAAATACAATGTTAAAGGGATGTAACTAATGCCTTAATTTTCACCCAAATGTTTGAAATAATCCTCTGTGAGTTGTTAAGAACAGTTAAATTTGTAGTGCCACTTGTGATGATAATTTGCATCTCTTGGATGAAATAAAATAGCACAAATGAGAAACAAATGCAGACAATGTAACCACAACATTCAATTAGACATTTTACTATCATACAGTAACTGTCTCGGCCTCGCTGTGCGCTGCGTTGCACCACTATCCGAGTAGTTAACCTCACATTCAATAAACCTTCAGAGCCAGGGTGAACATCCGACTCCAATGTATTTCATGAATAGAACGAGGTAAAACTGATGGAAAAACACAGCACAAAATACAGCATCTGTTAATGCTTGCAATATCGATACAATGAATGAACACTGCAGCATAATAACATTGTCTTAGATAACATGAAACTCCACAATAGGTCCTGGATGGACCAGGCACCTACATTAGCACTGAATAGCTATACAAAAGAATAAGCTACTGTGTTCAATAAGGTCACTTCGTGTAATCACCATACTGCAGCCTAAATGTACAGCGCTGCACATAACACTGAACTGTGGATGAGATACTTCTTCATCCTTGCTGTCAAGATTGCATTAAAGTTACATGGGTACAAGTCTGGCTCGACTTATCCAATTACAAGTAACATTCCCAATAATGCAAGTGGCAGGCTTCGTTGTTAACTAGACCTCATATTTATCATAACAATTTAACAGCATTATAAAGGTATTTTTAGCATTATAACGGCAATCCTAATATTATAACAGCATTCCCAGTAATATAAGAACATAAACAAACTTACAGACAATGCTTCTTAAAGTCCCACAATGAACATATGCACCTGTCTTCACTGAGACGATATTTGTGCCTCCATGTTGTACTCTGTATAATGGCTGACACCCTGCCTCATGGCTTAGAGAATCATAAATCGTAACTTCCTGGTCACGTGACCAAAGTCAACACCATATCAGGAAATTCCTGTATACGCAGGATCAAGAATACCTGTATTTCATTGGGGCTTTATGATTGTTGTTGGACCTCCAGCAACAAAAGTAACACATCGGAAGGCAGCACGTTTGTTTTGCTGCCTCTGTGAAGAGAGGAGAACCCTGGCAGCAGCATTAGTTGTATGACAAAAACACACACGTGCTGTCCAGGAGTCTTCAGTGCTGCAGCTTTGTCTACTCAATCTAGGCTGCATGAAGTCAAGTGAAGGCCGCTACTGCGTGCTCACTTTAGGCTCAGATGACATGGTGGAGATCTTTTACAGGCCACAGAGATGGCTCTCTGTGCAAAATGACAACGTCTTTGGTTAAATTTACAGATCATGTCACATGTTTCACAAGAGTAGGCCTTCGTGAGTCTGTATCAGCCCTCAGCTGAAATTTAACAAGGAAGGGGAATCATGGAATCCGTAATGGTTCGAACATGCTTTTGAGTTATTTTTTTTATGAATAGATACTACCTGCTATTATATGGCTCACAAACATGGGCATGTGTGACATGATCGCATTGGCCAAAAAGGTTTTTCTATTTATCGCTGGATTTAATCGCCAAGTTTTGGGAAAGCCTTTGATCAATTTTCTCGGTTTTCTCCAATAACATTTACCTTTCATTTGATGATCTCCCTCAAACCCCTTGCCCTGCTTCAGACAGACAGACAGATGGACAGTTATAATGCATTCATGATTTTAAACTTAGTTGGAAAGTGTACAAAATAACACGTATCTAAAACACACACATAAAACTGTCCCCACATTGTTATTGCATTTGAAAATTAGCTCTCACTTTGTTAAAATCTATTACGTTAAATTATCCTTGTCACTGGTGCAAAGTGCAGTGCACTAGACATTTGGCCTCTGTAAAACGTGTCCGGTGTTTTGAGGTGCCGGTGAGGGATGTTGCTGTGAAACACGCGGTTTCCCATCAGGGACTCCTCCTCACTGCTGGGTGCCAGGGCAGGAAAAGCATCTCGGTCCATCGCCCTGGAGCTCAGCGAGGTTGAGAAGGGCGCGGTGCTTCATGAGCTCATGCACGTGTTCGGGTTCCATCGTGACCAGCAGAGTGAGTAACTTTACAAGCGGGACACATGCCCTTATGATGACGACATAGTTAAAATTAAAATAATTATGCACAATATTTTACGGACATGAAAGTCTGCGACTGCTGCGCGGATTCAAGATCAGTGTCGCTCAAAAGCCAAGGCGAAAGAGGCTGGGCCTTCAAGTGTCCCTTAAAAGTCGGTGTGGATTGAACACTGCGATTGTGCAGTGGAATGGCTTTCCAGACGGCAGGGGCTGCCATGGAGAAACAATGACCGGCAGTGATGGTCCTGGTCCATGGTGTTGAGAGGAGGTTGTGAGTCGTGCTGCGGAGAGTTCTACCATGAGCTGTAGTGCAGGGTGACAGGGGTGAATTAACAGTGGTTTAACTCAATAGTCCAGCAAGTAGCGTGCCTTGCGCGATGGTGTAACTCAATTTGAAACAGTGTTTTACATATGTCTTATATTTAATTTCATAATATGTTTCAAAAAGTGA